CGCTGCCCGCGTGTCTGGCCGCCCGGCGTCCCGCCGCTGCACCCCGCAGTGCCCGGCCTTCGCCGCGCCGCCGTGTTCCACTCCCTGGAGGCTGCCCGGCGGGTGGGGGAGCAGGTAAGATGCGGGGCAGTAGCCGTGGCGCCGCGCAGAGGAGAATGAAGGAAGGAAGCTGTTTTAGGGAGGGAGCTCAGGCTGGCTGCAACTACTGAATTCCCAGGGGCTCTGCCCTCGTCCTTTCCCGCAGCAGTGTAAGCCCACTGCATATTGACACAGGTCTAAGTGAGGCGTTCAGATCATAATCTGTTTCCCTCTCTTAACTCTTGAGCCCTGGCGGGACTGCTCGGTGATTGGAGGTCGCCTCTGGGATCCTGCTTCCTACTTTCCCAGGGTCTTACTGGTGTAGAGGTGATGGGGCAGAATCAGAAAGAATGGACACCCAAGAGACCTTCTGTTGACTTCAGTGGACATTACTTCTGATCCATACTGGCCTACATGAGCTCAGGCACAGGCCCAAAGGCTGTTAAATCATATCACCTAACAATTTTCTTGAGTAGATCTCAATGTGCTTTACAAATGAGGCATGGGTGAGTATCTTCATTTTACAGAAGAGGAAACTGAGGCACAGAATAGTGAAGTGGCTAGCCCAAGGTCACCCAGCAGGCCAGTGGCAAAGTCCAGTCCAGCACTCTATCCAACAAGCCACACTTCCTTTTAAATACTTGAGTGTAATAACAAGTTACAGATACATAAACAGACTACCGTTAGAAAATAGTTAATGGAGTCCTATGTAAAGTGCTACTTTCATTGCCTTCCAAAAATCTTTTAGAGTAACTTAAGTAGTCCTCCCACCAGAGGCATTTGCTCCACCTTTCTTTATTATCTTCTTCCTTAAAAAGAAACAAACACATTTCTGTTTTCAAGAAGAGATGGAGCAAAGGTTGGGATTGTTCAAATCAAAGATTTTGATACTTGCCTGCCTTAAATTTATATTGTCCTATATCAAACAGTACCCTTTGATGTTAAATGTGGTCTTTTGAAAAATACCTGTTTGCTAGGTACTTGTTGAGTAATCAGTGTTATATTTATTACAGTGCACATCATTAATCCCTGAAGCCAAAGCTGTCCTTGATCTAGTGGATGAATGCCCCAAACATTTAAAAAAAGGAAATTTTCCTGTTATAGTTATTGAAGGACTGGATGCAACAGGTAGGTGCATAACATGAATACAGTAGCACAACTGAGTAATTATTAACATAATGTCTGATGTGACTTCTGTGCATGGTTAATACTCATGAAATGTTAAAAAAAATGACTTCAGATGTGGTTGGCAGAATCTAGAAGAGCAAGTGGCAAAGATAAAAATTCTCCCAGATTTGCATGTCAGATCTCAACTACAAAGCTATTTTTCACTATTGGAGCAAATTTCCTTCTAATGTCAGTGGAAGCGCATTCAGGTAGGCAAAACAGAATACTGGAAACAAGAACCAGTGTGCACAGTGCAGCTCTTGGTCCAGAAGTGAGCAATAATTTTTAATGGGAGGCCACTCCAAGATTTTGGTAAGTGGTCAAGGGCCACACTTCTGTGGCGGGAGTGTGTGGTCTGAGATGGTGAGTAGGGTGTAGAAGAGAGCTTGGGATAGAGGACTGGGTTGCAGGAAGAAGTATGGGGTCTGAGAGGGAGTTTGGGTGAAGGAGGGGGTTATGAGCTGGGGGAAATGGAATGCAGAGGGTTTGGTTGGTGATGTGGGACAGATAGTTGGGTGGGGGAGAGAGGGTGAGGTGCCAGAGGCAGGATCTGGCTGGGAGGCACTTACCTAGACAGCTCCCAGCCAGAAGCCCTGCAGGAACCCAAGACAAGTTCCCTGCCTGTTGGGATGCGAGAGAGGGGCTGCTCCACCTGGCTTCAGCACAAGGAGGGAGGGAGAGAGTGAGGAGGCTTCATTGACTGCCCATGCTTTCAGCAAAATTTCTCAGCTCATATTGGCCAGAAACTGTTGGCCAATTGGTTATCTCCTTCCTGCCCCGCTTGCAGAGCAATTAGCAGTCTGCTGTTTGAAGCTGCTGCAACTGCTCTGTAGTAAGGGTGCCGGCAAGGCTGGGCCACTAGCCACCTCTTGCCCAGTTTTGCCTTGGTCTCTTGAAGAAGAGGGAAATCACAGTATGCTTGGGCAACCAGAACAGCATCACATATGATTCTGAAGATCTGTGCCTTCTGCATTATCAGTTGTAAGAAGCCTCACTTAATAGAGGGTTCATGTAGCACTTTAGAGACTAACAAACAAATATATATAGTACCATGAGCTTTTGTGGGCAAAACCCACTTCCCTCAGATAAGTAGGATTACTCATTGGTTTTTTTAAGTTGCAGACTAACACAGCTACCCCTCTGGGACTTTTAAATAGAGGGGGAAATTCATCAAGGTGTTACTCCACTGAAGTGAACAGAATATCAAAAATTAATTCAGCAACATAGAAAGGAGCATAAACTTTGTCAAATTAAGTGTAATAATAAGGAAAGCAAAAAAGGAGCTTGAAGAACAGCTAGCCAAAAACTCAAAAAGTAACAGCAAAATGTTTTTTAAGTACATCAGAAGCAGGAAGCCAGCTAAGCAACCAGTGGGACCACTGGACAATCGAGATGCTAAAGGAGCACTCAAAGGGTATGTCTAGACTATAGGGTTTTGTCAACGGAAGTTTTGTCTACAGATACTGTCGACAAAACTTCTGTCGACATAGAGCGTCTAGACACATTCAGTTCTGTCGACAAAGCAAGCTGCTTTGTCGACAGAACCCTGTAGTCTAGACACAACCTTACAGGCAATAACACCTTCTGTCGACAGAATTCTGTCGACAGAAGGTGTTATGCCTCGTAAAATGAGGTTTACCAGCATCGAAAAAACTGCTGAGTTCTGTCGACGTTATGTCGACATAACTCAGCAGTAGTGTAGACGCTGGTATAGTTTTGTCGACAAAAGTCCACTTTTGTCGACAAAACTCAGTAGTCTAGACACACCCAAAGACGATAAGGTCATTATGGAGAAAGTACATTAATTCTTTGCCTCAGTTTTCATGGCTGAAGATGTTAGGGAGATTCCCAAACTGAGCCATCTTTTTAGGTGACAGATCTGAGGAATTGTCCCAGATTGAGGTGTCTTTAGAGGAGGTTTTGGAACAAATTGACAAACTTAACAGTAACAAGTTACTCAAGTAACAAGAACTCAAATGTGAAATTGCAGAGCTATGAACTGTGATTTATAACCTGTCATTTAAATCAGCTTCTGTACCTAACAACTGGAAGACAGCTAATGTAATGCCAATACAGCCGCTCTCTGAGTTAAGAACAAAATACGGACCAACACTTGAAGTGTTCGTAACTCGGATTCCATAGAGTTACATGGCGACCGCACTGTTCGTAAGCACAGATCGCTGTTCGTAACTCGGATCTGCATTTACGACCGCTTTGGTTGTAAGTGCGGATGGTCGTAAGTGGAGGTGGTCAGAACTCGGGGAGCGGCTGTATTTAAAAAGGTCTCTAGAGGCGATCCTGGCGATTACAGACTGGTAAGTCTAGTGTCAGTACCGGCCAAATTAGTTGAAACTATAGTTAGGAATAGAATTGTCAGACACATAGGTGAACATAAATTGTTGAGGAAAAGTCAACATGGATTTTGTACAGGGAAATCGTGCCTTACTAATCGAGTTCTTTGAGAGAGTCAACAAGTATGTGGACAATGGAATCCAGTAGATATAGTGTACTTAATATTTCCAGAAAGCCTTTGACAAGGTCCCTCACCAAAGGTTCTTATCTAAAGTTAGTTGTCATGGGATAACAGGGAAGGTCCTCTCATGGATTGATATCTGGTTAAAAGACAGGAAACAAAAGGTAGGAATAAATGGTAAATTTTCAGAATGGAGAGAGGTAACTAGTGGTGTCATCCCAGAGTCCACATTTGGACCAATCCTATTTAACCTATTTATAAATGATTTGGAGAAAGGGATAAACAGTGACGTGGCAAAATTTGCAGACAATACTAAACTGCTTGAGATAGTTAAGACTAAATCAAACAGAGAAGAGCTTCAAAAGGATCTCACAAAACTAGGTTTTTGGGCAACAAAATGGCAAATGAATTTTAATATTGATAAATGCAAAGTAATGCACATTGGAAAAAATAATCCCAACTACACATGTAACATGATGGGGACTAATTTATCTATAACCACTCAAGAGAGATATTGGAGCCATTGTGGCCAAACTTACTGATCCTCTGTGCTGCATATGACTGTCATGGCTCCGCTCCTTCCCCACTCTGACATGATAAATGCAGAAGTGGGGGTCAGCAAGTGTACCCCAAAGCCTTATCTACCAGGCTTTGGTATAAAACTTCCCCCAAGATCTTAAAAACCTAGATCTTGGGAATAAAACTTCCGCTGCCACCACCCAAATGTTGATAAAGAAATCAGGGGAAAGATCATTTGGGAAATCTTACCCCTAAAATAAAAATCAAGGCACACAATTAACCACTGCCAGGTTAATAAAAAGAAAAGAAAGAACTTTTATTATTACAACAATATTCCTGTTGCAAACATAATGACTAGATAGGGAGGTAACAAAATATACTCATGGAGAAACTCCATGGGCCTAGAACTTAGTTACAAAGAAAAGCCAAAACATCTTTTAAACAGTGCCAGATCTCAGATCCCATACCCAATCCTTAAAACAATAAAACCTAACGAAACTGCCTAAACTTTACCCTACTTACAGAAAATGAAGAATGGTGTCTTGGAGAGAGAGAGAGACATGCTTGTCCCTCTCTGTAGTTGCAGAGAACTCTCAGAGAGACAAAAGGGAGAAAAGAAAAAACCCAAATTCCTTTGTCCCAGTTTGAAAAGTCCCACCTACATTCCTATTGGTCACTCCACCTGGCTAGGTGTAGTTAACCCCTTAATCCCCAGGCTGCTGGCTAACCCTCATAATCATGACAATGACAATCTTCGGAAGTTTGAAAGCTGAGATGCGCCTGCCAGGAGTTGGGGCTTCAGTATCGTAAGGTGCCCAACAGGGCTTGAAGCTTCAGCCTGACTACTGCTGAAACCTGAAGCCGTGGCAGGCGCACCACCGGGGCAGAAGTCCCTACCACATCATCCCACTGCAAAGCAGAGGTTCTTAGGTCCCTTCCCAGTCTGGTATATGGAGAATAGAGGGAGGGAGACATGGAAGGCACTATAAGCTTCACTTGAATGGTAAAAGAGCCACAGTATAGCTTTTGAGCCAGAGTTTGGACACCCCTGCCCTATAACAACCTAGTCAAGATACGTAGTAAGATATAGATACATATATCAAAATATATTTTCCAGCTTAAATGCTAAGTACTTTTTCTGCATTTTTTTAAATTAAAGCTAGTTGTTATCATGTGCCATAGTAGAAGATTTTTCATCTGTTTATGTTAACTACAGGCAAAACCACTGTAACCCAGTCCGTCAAGGACTCATTGAAGGCACTTCTGTTAAGATCACCACCAGCTTGTATCAGCCAGTGGAGGAAGACTTTTGATGATGAACCAACACTCATCAGGAGGGCATTTTATGCTCTGGGCAACTACATTGTTGCTTCAGAAATAGCAAAAGCATCGACTGAGTCACCTGTGATTGTAGACAGGTTTGTAAATAAATATTTTCTAGCCTTGCTTGTTGGTATGGACATTTTATTTATGTATGTATTTCTTCTTAAATCTGGTTGATGTTTTATGTGTATAGTAAAAGGAAAACTGATTGTTTTGTATTGCGTTTAGACAGGCAAATTATGATATTTGTAGGCCATCAGATGCAGGAGAAATGCAGAAAACAGCAATAGGATCTTTATATTGTCTTTATTGACCTGTCTAAAGCATTTGACACCAACAGCAGACTTGGGCTCTGGAAATTATTACATAAGCTTTGTTGTCCACGTTTGAAAAAGTCTGTATATATGGTGTTCTGTCGGACCCATTTTCTATTGCTACAGGTATTACACAGGATTGTGTAAATGGCATGCTCTTGGTTAATTTCTTGTGTGTATCCGTGCTCAGTGATGCTATTGAAGACCCAAATGCTGGTATCGGGATACATTTCCAATCTGGAAAAGTATTTAATCTGGCCAGACCACGGATATTACTGAACCAGAAAGTCTCAGCTGGGCAGGTTCAGAATCATAGCCCAGCCCCAGTGGTGCCAGCACGTCGGAGAGCATAGCCCTAGCCAGGGCTGGCAGCAAGGAGTGCAGCCCCAGCCAGGGCTGGAGGTAGTGGCCAGGAATGCAGCCCTAGTTGGTGCTGTGAGAAGCTCAGCCTCAGTCAGGTCTGGTACAGGAAAGAGCTGGAGTCAGCTGGGCACTCAGCCCAGACCGATGCCATGGTGCGGGGCAGCCACTTCTGGGGATGGAGACAGTGGGGCCAGGCCCTGTCTGGGGCTGGCATGGGGGTGGGGCGGCTGGAAGCAGCAGCAAGTGGCAGGGAGCACAGCCTCACCTGGAAACAGAGCCTATTGCAGAGTAAGGAGCCTTGACCTCCACTGGTCCAGTAAACTCCATTGTTCAGGACCACTCAAGTCCCGAGGGTGCCCGGCAAGGGAGGTCTGACTTGTATAATATAGTTTGAATCTTTATGGACTATAGTCCTTCCCCAGAATTAACAAAAACACAAACAATAAAAGGATCAATGCCAGCACTAGGGCTAAATAACAGAGTAAACAAGGAAAGTAGAAGCAAAAAGACATCCTTGAAAAACTGGATGTCAAATTCTACTGAGGAAAGTAGACAGAATAAACTCTGGCAAATAGAGTATAAAAGTATAATTAAGCAATTGAAAAATAATTTGAAAAGCAACTAGTAAAAGACACAAAAACTAGCAATGATTTTTTTTAAGTACTGTCCCTTAGAAGTCAGAACCTGTCAAACCATCAGAGGGATGACCAGACAATTGAGGTGCAAAGGAAGCACTCACAGAAGACAAGACCATTGCAGAGAAACTAAATTCTTTGCATTGGTTTTCATTGCAGAGGATGTGGGGAGACTCCCACACTTAAACCATTTTTGTAAAGTGACATATCTGAAGAACTGTCCCAGATTGAGTTCTCAATAGTCAAGGTTTTGGAACAAATTGATAAATTAAATAGTAGTAAATCACCAGAACCAGATGGTATTCACCAGAGTTCTGAAAGAACTCAAACATGTATCTGTAAAATTACCAAATGTTATACGTAACCTATCATTTAAATCTGCCTCTGTAATCAGATGATTTGAGGATATCTGATTTAATGTGGATTTTTGAAAAAGGCTCTAAAGGTAATCCTGACAATTACAAGTCAGTAAGCCTAACATGAGTATCAGGCAAAATGGTCGAAAATACAGTAAAGAACAGAATTATCATATGCAGAGATGAACATGAATGACGGGGAAGAGTCAACACAGCTATTATAAAGACAAATCATGCCATGCCAATCTACTAGAATTCTTTGAGAATATCAGTAAATATGTGGATGAGAGAGATCCAGGTGATGTGTGTGGACTTTCAAAAAGCCTTTGACCAGGTTCTTCACCAAAGGCTCTTAAGCAGAGAAAGGAGTCAGGATAAGAAGGAAGAGCCTCTCATTGATCAGTAATTGATTAAAAGATAGAAAACAAAGGGTAAGAATAAACAGCCAGTTTTCACTGTTGAGAGAGGTGAACAGTGAGGTCTGCTAAGGATTGGTAGTGGGACCAGTGCTGTTCAACATATTCATAAGTGATCTAGAAAAGGGGTTAAATAAATGGCAAAATTTGCAGATGTTAAAAATTACTCAAGAGGGTTCAATGCAAAACTTATTGCAAAGAATTACAAAGGGATCTCACAAAACAGGACAAGAAAATGGCAGATGAAATTCAATATTAATACATGCAAAGAAACACACACGGGAAAGCGTAATCCTAACTATACATACAGAATGATGGGCATATAAATTAGCTGCTAGCACTCAATTAAGAGATCTTTGAGTCATTGTGGATAGTTCTCTGAAAACAGTTAAAAAAGCTAGTATTAGGAACTATTAGGAAAGGGATAGATAGTAAGGCAGAAAATATCATAATGTCACTATATAAATCCACGATATGCCTATGCCTTGAATATATCATGCAGTTCTAGTTGTCAGATCTGAAAAAGATATTAAAATTGGAAGAAGTACAGAACAGGGCAACAAAATTATTAGGGTATGGAACAGCTTCCATATGATGGGAGATTAAATAGAAGGGGAGTGTTCAGCATGTAAAGGAAACAGTGAGGTGGCATATGATAGAGGGGTCATATGATTTTTACATATCATACAAATAATGAATGATATGTAGAAAGTGAATAGGGGAGTGTTAGTTACCTCTTCATATAACACAAGAATCAGGGGTGACCCAATGAAATTAATAGGCTGCAGATTTAAAACAAACAGAAGGAAGTCACAGTCAACCTGTAGATGTCATTGATAGGGATTGTTGTAAAGGCAAAAAGCATAACTGGGTTCAGACAAGAATCAAATAAATTCATAGGGAATAGGTAAATCCATAGCTATTAGCCAATTCAGCAGTGTAACCTCATGCTCTGAGTGTCCCCAAGCCTCTGAGGGTACGTCTAGACTCCAGGCTTCTGTCGACAGAAGTTTTGTCGACAGATACTGTCGACAAAACTTCTGTCGACAAAGCACGTCCAGACTACATTGAGTTCTGTCAACAAAGCAAGCTGCTTTTGTCGACATGGTAGTCTGGACGCAAAGGACAGTTTCCATTCAATAACACCTTCTGTTGACAGAAACTCTGTCGACAGAAGGTGTTTTGCCTTGTAAAATGAGGTATACCAGTGTCGACAAAACTGCTGAGTTCTGTCGACGTTATGTCGACAGAACTCAGCGGTAGTGTAGACGCTGGTATAGTTTTGTCGACAAAAGTCCACTTTTGTCGACAAAACTCGGTAGTCTAGACACACCCTGACTGGCAGAAGCTGGATAACAGGAGATGGGTAACTTGAATATTTTCTCTGTTCTGTTCACTCCTTCTGAAGCATCTGGCAACAGACACAGTCAGAAGACAGGATACTAGACTAGATGGACCATTGGTCAAACCCAGTATGGCCATTCTTGTGTTCTTATGAAATGACTTTAAAACACACTTAGATGTATAGAGATGAAAAGGTAGTATAGTTGGAGAGGAGTCTTCTAAATCCCCAAATCTGTCCAATATGCTAGTTTATTAGCATAATGAAGAAAGCTTAGTTCTCCTGTTAAAAATATGTATACTCTTTTCATTACTCTCTCACTTAAACTTTCTTCCGTGTTTCATTTCATGGGTCTTTATATTGCAGTTTATTTGCTGCAGTGGTTTGCTGTTCATTTCTTTCTGCTTAGGGTTTTTCTTTTCTTACTTTATATCAGTAATTAAGATCCAGATTTTTCAGTGAGCTCATCTCCCATCTAAGAACCAAAATAAGTGCTTAGATTTTCAAAGAAGCTCAGCAACTAATTAGAAAACCTGGCCATAAGTGTCTCAGGATGTGTCTAGACTACAGAGTTTTGTCAACAAAAGTGGACAAAACTATACCTGCATCTACACTGCCGCTGAGTTCTGTCGACATAACGTTGACAGAACTCAGCAGTTTTGTCGGCTGTACACCTCCTTCTACAAGGAATAATGCCTTTTTTCGACAGAGTTTTGTCGACAGAAGGCTTTATTACATCTGCACTGTCCTTTGCATCTACACTGTCATGTTGACAAAGTGGCTTGCTTTGTCGACAGAACTGGATGTAGACTTTGTCGACAGTATCTGTTGACAAAACTTCTGTCGACAAAAGTCTGTAGTCGAGACGTACCCTCAGTGTGAACTGCTGGGTGTTGATCATTTGAAAATCTGGTTCTGAGCGCTTCCAAAAATCAGGCCCCGAGGGTCTATTTTAGATGTGCTCAGCACACACAACTGGAAAGTGTAGTTATTTAGCCACTCTGAAAATAAGACTTAATCTGTATTTTTTTTTGGCTTTTGCTTATATATCTTCATATTTTCCTTCCCATTTCATGACATGGGTGAGCTTGTGTATTTTTATTAATGAAGGAGACATAGATGTGAGTTGAGATACCCAACCCATCCAACTGATCTGTTACCTGAATAAAATGCATTAATAGTTATTTGGTGTCCTAATGGAAGCAGCTGTCCAACAAAACTTCCTAATGGAGGGAAACACTTATGTAAAATATATTCATGATCTTTAATAAAGCTTCCTTCTGTGTACATACTTTTATATGTGGTTGAACACTGTACTGCACATTCCCTACCAAATTTGTTGTATCACCTACACTTTAATCAGGATGATTAGTATCAGCAAATAGGTATTTAGATTTGGAAAAATAGAAGTCAGTGTTTCGGATTTTGGTCTGGCTCAGAAAATTGAAATTTGTTGTTTTGGTTTTTTTGTGTGCAAGTTTGGATTTTATTGGAAATAGAGAACCTTTTGGCTAATACATAGCTGTTTTCTAATGCCTTACTTAACAGTAACAAATAATTAGACATTTTGTTTTATTTATTACTTTGATAAATTATTTATGGGTATAGAATCTTCATGGTCCTCCATGCATTGTGACTGTGTATTAATCTAGCATTATGAAAAGCTGCTGGTTTCTTTTATGTAAGTAGTACCTGCCTATAGGAACATTTGACATGTTCATGTATTTTTTTTAAATGATCAGGTATGCATTCCATTCCTAAATATTTTCCTGACAGGTATTGGCACAGCACAGCTGCCTATGCAATTGCCACTGAAATAAGTGGGAAAGTGAAAAATCTTCCTCCAGCTCACCATCAAGTGTATCAGTGGCCAGAGGACCTGCTCAAACCTGATCTTATCCTGCTGTTGACAGTTAGTCCTGAGGAGCGAATCCGGAGATTGCAAGGACGAGGGCTAGAGAAAACAGAAGAGGAAACCGAGTTAGAAGCTAACAGTTTGTTTCGCCAAAAGTAAGTCTTAATAATGAATAAGACCAGAGATGGAATCTTCACCCTATTAAAATCATTAGCAAAACTCCCATTTATGGCAGTGGGGCTAGGATTTCCATATGCCTAGACTGTCCTGTTTCACAAGCAATGCTGACCGACAATGGTATAGGCTGCCAGTTTGAGTGACTGGATGTGCTGAAAGGCCTTAGGGGAATAACTTCCTTACTCCCCCAAGTTGAAAGTTAAGGTAGAGTGTTGGGCCATTTCTAGTAATTACTCTCATTGCTATTCAGCCGTGGGATTGTTGACAGCTACAAGCAGCCAGAGCCTTAGGTTTAGAGCTCACATGAGAGAGACTGCATTTTCAGTATCATCACATTGTGTTGCATTAACAGAGTAACTATGAATATTTAGAAGTATTTCTTAAGGTTGAAAACTCATTATGCACTATAGAATTTAGCTTAAGCTGTTTTTTTTTAATTCCATGAGTGTATGAGGTTGACCGTTTTCATAAGAAAGCTGTAGAACATCCCAGAAGTTAATTATCTCATTTGGGGGAGTTAAGCTACACTTTATAAATGTAAAATTGACCTTGACAAGGATGTAGTATGAGACAGTACAAATTTCACTGGTTTTGCCAAATTGTAAAAATGGTGTTTTATGCTCCATTAATTACACATAATCATGAACTAATAAAAAACCTCAGGAAGGAGAATCCAAACACTACAAGGAAAATATAAGGCTGGCAGATGCATTTTTCCATCCCATCATGCAATATCTAATTAGACTTTTTTTGGTTAACTATCTTACATACTTAATTATCTGTGCCAAAGACTAGCCTATTGGCGTGGTTTTAGATCATCTTTTCTCTTGGGGGGAGAAATAAGTTATTCATAAAACAGAGTTCTGTAGATGTTCCTCCAAAGGATTTCACCGTGGTGGATTGGAAAGAAGACGACATCTTAAATATCACTTTGATATCCGAACATCTGTTCAAGACTCTGGGTATCTACATGGAGTCGTGTCACTCTCCAGGACACTTTTCACGTTAGCACAATAGTTTCCTTTTCAGCATGTCTGCCACTAGCTTTTTAGCAGTATGATGCCATTTGTCCTTCCCTCTATTATGCCTTTGGCTGTCATTTCCTCACTACAAAACCAACTTTGGAATCCTGCTCTTTTGGTCATTTAGGAAGAAGCCCGAGTGGGGTTGAAATGCATGTTTTGTTGTTGTGCATTATGGCACTCTGCAATACATTTAATTCTGGGCTTCATGCTAGAATTTTTGTGCAGCCAGTGCATTTTCAGTCAGATACACCTTTTCATTCCATAGCAGCTTGTAGATATGAATGTATCACCTGCTCTATTTTTATTTACTATTTTTTTTTAAACAGGGTTGAAGAATCATACAAAAGGATGGAAAACCCTGGATGCCAGGAGGTTGATGCCAGCTCCTCCAGGGAAGAGGTTCTGAGAACTGTTTTGCACCTAATTAAAAAACACTGTGGTTCATTATAGCTGTTTATGTGTGGCAGCATTTACAGTGAATTGCTTATGTTTCCTCTGTTTTTCTCACCTAGAAATGCACTGCATTCAGCTCTTTTCCATCCAAATAAGCTGGTTCAAACAGAAGAATCCTTTCTTTCCTCTATCCAGTCTAAATGATGTTTTTATACTAACTCATTACTGCGTAATATACTTTGTACATAGGGCAGAACACAACTCTCATGCTTCCACCATTTCTGGTGCATCCACCAGCAAATCATTAGGACCAGTTATATGAGAAGGTAATTGGAAAGTGCTGGCATTTCTAGCAATTGTATTCTGTCACTACATAGAGAACCTGATCCTGCATTCCTTGCGTACCCAAGCTCCAGGTGACTTCAGTGTGCATTTTGGGTGTTCATAGTGATACCGAATCAAGTGGAGGATCTGAAACATGGCCAAGCAGTAAAGCTATTAAATCCAACATTCAGAAACCTGGAAATCACAGTCCCAGGATTGGTTACCAAACTAGGCATTTGGATATTAGAGTGACAGGCATTCTGAAGAAGTGTGAAATAAATGAGGGCCTGGTTTTCCTCAAGTGCTGAGTACCAGCAGCTTCTGTTGAAGTCAGTGGAAGCTCTGAGTGCTCAGCCTTCAGTACCAGACTCTGAAATATCAGGCCTTGAGTAAATAAATTCAAATATTTCAATATATACAAAGGAAAGATCTGAAATGCAGGTCCAACTATTTAAATGAGAGGCAGATGGAAGGAAAGCAGAGTCTACATACTGCCACATTAGAAACAGGGACCTGAAAGGAAATCAAAATAGAAAACATTTTGTAAATAATAAACAGAATATTTTTCTACACAGACTTTTTCCCAACTATTGTTAATCCCTTAATGTGTTGTTCTGGCCTTTTGATAGAATTAAAGCAGAAAGACATGGAGAATCTGCTTGTAACATTCATCTTTAGTCATTTTGTCAGCACTTTATCAGTACAGGCAGTCCCCGGGTTACGTATGATAGGGACTGTAGGTTTGTTCTTAAGTTGAATTTATATGTAAGTCAGAACTGGTACATATTGTAACCTCACTTCCCTCAGTCCTTTATTCTCAAGCTGAGGTGTCTGCTGAGAAAAGCTGCTCTGCGTCTCCCTGGTCTGCTGGGGTGGGGGGGGGCGCTAGCTTCGTGTCTCCCTGGTCTACTGTGGGGAAGCAGCTAGTGCGGGGTTGCCTCACCCCGTTTGTAAGTAGGGATCCGATGTAAGTCGGATCCATGTAACCCGGGGACTGCCTGTACTGAAGTTTTTTTTCATATGTTTTATGCAGAGGCAGTTGGATTCCACCTCTCTCCTGCAAAGACTTATGCATAGGCTCAACTTTATGCACATAGCTATTCATGTTGGGACTGCTCACAAAGTATAAAGCTAAACATGTATGTAAATCTTTGCAGGATCAGGGCCTAACTGAAAATCAAGATAGAAACCTAAATTAAAAGGCACTTTATTTCTAATCTTGTTTATATATAATTTCCTTTATTAAATAGAGCAATTGCTCTATAAATACTTATTGAAAATAAATGTTCTAAAAATGTGCACTTGAGTATGATTGAATATGGTATTTCCCTCCATCACAACAAGACACGTGTGCAAGGGAGAAAAGTATTATAGTATAAAACCATCCAAATACGTTTTTATTTAGTTAATTTACATTTTGTTTGATTTACATATTATTTATTACTTATACTATACAAGTGCCTGGTGGCATTCCACACACACATTGAATACAAACTCACAATTAGGATGATACATTTGTTTTAGGCGATATCTGAAGCATTCAGATAATCGGTTTTGGATAAAGGAATTTCAAATGTAGACAGCCTAGCCAAATTTGGATAATCTAAGGTTGGATAGCTGGGGTATACTTGAACTTTAGTTTTCAGATTCTTCCTTCTTCCTTCCCTACCGAATGCTCTTCCCATGGAATTCAAGTACTCCTTAGTAAGGTGAAGCTCCAGGCTGGCTGGCTGGTTTTTGGCCTGTATTGATAAGGTGGGTAATGTAGCAAATAAGATCTGAGCTATACACACAAGTTATAACAAATATGGACTATTCATATTCCTTAGAGCTAATGTACTCATGATACAGCGCTGGCAGTACAATAACACAAGATTGTTCAAGCTAATATGTTCCCTCTTTTCTCTGTACTTTGATTGAATTAAAGCTCTGTAGGCAGTATTGCACATGGTTCATCCAGATTATTAAAGATAGTAATACAGATACCTGATCACTATTGATGATTATTCATGATTCTGTAACCTCTTTATTACAAAGATCCCAAAGCACTTTACAAATATTGATTATATCTTACAGACATCCCTGTAAGGTGGGTGAGAGAAGTATAAGGATTAGGGATATCATAGTGTAGTCCAATGCGCAATTAACTGATAAACCTGAGTTTATCGACTACACGCATTCCTTTCCCCCCTACCCCCGCTGTCTCTGTATCAGCAGGGGTGGCACATGTGGGAAGCCAGTTTTCAAACCAGTTCCCTGCGTGTATCGACTCACGCAAGCTGCTTGCCTCCCCCATTGCGCTGCTGCCTCTCTATCAGAAGCAGCAGCATATGTGGGGGGTCAGGGGAGGCTGCTTCATCCGCAGTGGGCCCAGTCTCGCCACAGACAGAGGCTGCTCCATGGGATGCTGGTGCAGATCCTGTCCACAGGGAGCTTGGACCCCCCACGGACAAGGGCTAGTCCTGCCATGCACTGCAGAGGCTACAGTGCAGGGTGGCAGGCATGAGCAGGTCTGCTCGGAAAGCTTGTTTTTAAACCGGCTCCCCTCAAAGACTGGCTCCCGCCTGCCATCCCGCTGCTGCCTCTGAAACAGGGTGATGAGGGGCTCCCTGGGAATGGGTCCAGGAGTACACTGGCTACAGGCCCCACCCCTGGGGACTATCAAATAGTCATGTACCTGATAATATTTGATGCAGTTACATGATTATTCAATTAACTATCTACATCCCTAATAAGGATGCTTCTTTAGCAGCCGCTGAAATGTAGCCACTTCAGGAATGGAAACAGTAGAACTGCACAGCAATTTAGAGTAGGAAGTGAAGAATATCAAATCCTCTAATAGTGATAGAAATGTAGCTGTGTTAGTCTGGTGTAGCTGAAACAAAATACAGGACTATGTAGCACTTTAAAGACTAATAAGATGGTTTATTAGGTGATGAGCTTTCGTGGGCCAGACCCACTTCCTCAGATCAAATAGTGGAAGAAAATAGTCACAACCATATATACCAAAGGATACAGTTAAAAAAATGAACACATATGAAAAGGACAAATGAAATTTCAGAACAGAAAGGGGGGGGGAAGGGGCAAGGTAAGTATCTGTGAGCTAATGGTATTAGAGGTGATAATTGGGGAGGCTATCTTTGTAATGGGTATGATATCCAGAGTCTTTGTTAAGACCCCCGCGTAGAGTGTCGAATTTTAGCATGAATGACAGTTCAGAGGATTCCCTTTCAAGTGCAGATTTAAAAGGCTTCTGAAGCAGGATGCAGGTAATTAAGTCATTGAGACAGTGTCCTTTCTGGTTGAAATGGCAAGAAACTGTTTTTTCTTTGTGATCCCATCTAATATCTGTTTTGTGGGCATTGATCCTTTAGCGAAGTGTCTGAGACGTTTGTCCAATGTACAAAGCATATGGACACTTTCGGCACATGATAGCATAAATTATATGTCTGGATGCGCAGAAATATGTGTTCTTGATCTTATAACTCATTTGGTTAGGTTCAGTAATGGATTTGATTTGTCCTTTTCATATGTGTTCATTTTTTTAACTGTATCCTTTGGTATATATGGTTGTGACTATTTTCTTCCACTATTTGATCTGAGGAAGTGGGTCTGGCTCACGAAAGCTCATCATCTAATAAACCATCTTGTTAGTCTTTAAAGTGCTACATAGTCCTGTATTTTGTTTCAAATCCTGTAATGGCTGCAGGTTTGGCAAATGGTACGTTTACCTCAATTGGAATTTGACCAGGTCACAGAGCTCAGCCACCCCATCTTACAAAAAGTGCCAGGAGAAATTAATGATGCCTGGAGGCCTCAGAGCCCAAGCTGTGACACCTACAGTCCTACAGACTAAGTCAGTTGAGAGGGGCCAGCTCCAGGTGTTTTACTGCAATATACATATATACCAAAGAGTTCAGGAGTTTGATTTCATACTGCAAGAATGCCATGTATGACTACATTCTGCAAGGTACTGAGTACTCCAGAAAAAGTCATGTCTGCACTGCAATTGCGTTTTTTTGATTTTTTTTTTGAAAGAACAGAGGGTTTTTCCCGACATTGTTTAACCTCTTTCTGCAAGGAAGAAGCCTTTTTTCCAAAAGAGCTCTTTCAGAAAAAGTCACGTGTGGCTTAGGAAGAGGGAGTTCTTTTGCAAGAAGAGGAAAGAGGAAAAAGGACAGGTCCCCTGGTGGCCACTCCGTCCATAATAATCACAGCTTAAATGTGAGATAGCGTCCATTCAGTGTGGACATTATTTAAAAAAAAAACAAAACAGATCACTCTTTGGATGTGCTTTGGAAGGGTGGATACTTTCTTTCAGAAGAAGATTTTTCGGAAGAAGCCTGCATTCTAGATGTAGCCTGAGTATGTATGGGGACCACCCAAGTCACAAGTGGAGGCACCGGCAGTTGTGAATTCCTTTAGGATTAAGGGACCACAGCAGAGGGTTGGAAACAGGATTACCATCTATCCAACCTCACCACTGGGTTGCTCAGGATCTCCTTTAATATAATGAACATCAGACACACAGGTAAATGTTGCATCTCCCTCAGCCTTTGTTTGGGTAGGCTAAACAATCCATGTTGTTTGAGTCTCCTCTTATATGTTTCCATTCCTCTGATCATCCTAGTAACCCCTCTTTGCCCCTGTTTCAGTGTGATTCATTTTAAACATGGGGCAAACGGGGGAGCTCTGACTATGCATCAATCTAATTAAAATCTCTGTGACCATTTGAGTTTTCTCACTCTTGATAGTTCATGTTTGGTTTCTTTACTGGACTTAAGCATATAACTGTCCCATGTCATGCCACATATATGACTATCCCCCAATAATGTAATTTATGTGACAGGCATTAAACAGGCATGAATCATATATGTAATGTTATGTTTTAAGAGCTTTGTTTTATTGTGCATGTAACAGTAATAAGTTGAAACTTACATTTCTGCCATTAGTCAGCAACTGTGTAACCCTTCTATCAGGTGGAGTTGGCAACAACAAGGGCCAGAGTCAATAGCTAATTGTTCTTTTAAAAAATATAAAACAGAGCCATCTCAACCCCCCACCTAGAATCTGGGAAAATTAAACGCCACCCCAAGAGGCAGTACTTTGCCACTCACAAGCACTGAATGGCTGCGTCTAGACTGGCATGATTTTGCTGAAATACTTTTAACGGAAAAGTTTTTCCATTAAAAGTATTTCTGCAAAAGCGTGTCTAGATTGGCAAGTGCCTTTACACAAAGATTTGCTTTTGCGCAAAAGCATCCATGGCCAGTCTAGACACGATTTTGCGCAAAAAAGCCCCGATCGCCATTTTAGCCATTGGGGCTTTTTTGTGCAAAACAGTTCTTCCCTGTCTACACTGGCCATCTTGCACAAGTATTCTTGCACAAGAGGGCTTTTTCCCGAGTGGGAGCGTGACAGTATTTGCGCAAGAAGCACTGATTTTGTACATTACAAAGTCAGTGCTCTTGTGCAAATTCAAGCAGCCAGTGTAGAAAGCTGGCAAGCTTTTGCGCAAAAGCGACGGCTTTTGTGCAAAATCTTGCGTCTAGACGCACCCAAAATGTGCAGAGCAAAGAAAACTTATATTAAAAAGGGAAAAGGAACCTTGCATTAATGTGGGAAAACACCACAACCATAATTCTAAAGCACGTGACCACGAGCAAAATAAATACTCACCCTGGAGTACGTGGGTCTGTATCCTTTGCCTAAGTTCTCACCTTGTGGCATGCAAGTCCAGAAAACATTCCTGTTACACCATTATCCTCACCATGTCCAGCTCACA